CTTCTTAAGTCCTATCAAAACCCTTCTAGTAAAACGGGCAAAGGATGCCTTGCCGTTGAACGCCACCCCAACTTGCGTGTATGAATTCACGTGTACTCGTGGATGCAAGTACATTGGACGTACGCAAAGGCAACTGACAAGCAGAGCCACTGAGCACTTGCCTAACTGGCTTTTCAAGCAAGAAGATGGAGTACCACGATCTCAATTACTAAGCATCTGCTAGACAGCGGTCGTTCCGTCGACGTCAAAACAGCGTTTCGATTACTTGTTCGGGCAAGAACAACTCGAACCCTGCGCTATTTGGAAGTTGCCTACATACGGTGGGAGAAACCCGACCTATGCAAGCAGCTTGACCCTGTGGCCAACCTCCAATTACCCTGGTAATTGGGTAATTACTTTTAATCCCCACGTAATTTTCGTTAACTCACCTCCCCTTTCCTTCCTATACGTTGATTTAATGCAGTGTCCTTTATCTGATCATTATTTACACTGAACTTTGACCCTTGTTGTTATGCCATGTCATTCTGTGAACTTTCAACCTGTTGTATATTCTATTCTTTATCAAACTCATGCAAAGACAGGATACAGTTGAGAAGCCGTCACGAAATTTATTGAATTCAGTAAATCCTGCTGTGTACGCTTGTTTTAAAAACGGAGCCATGTTTTCACATGCACTTACCACGTTGGCTTAAGTTAACGCTAAGGCTTATGCCCAGTGTTCCGGCACGGCCGTTTTTGTAGCGGCGCCCACCTCCCCGCCATCTACTACCAACCCAGCCTATCTCGCACTAAAAGTGAACGCTACGCGATGAGCGACCGCGGGATGGCCCTATTATCGATTATCGACCTGCCTACGCTTACTGCGTGGCATGGTGTAGTGTGAGAATCGGTTATGACCGTCTAACTCTCAGTCCACGGATCAGTCACTAGAGCGAGAATACGCACTGGGCTTATGGGGTGACTGGTACAGCTGGTTGGTTCTACCATCTATGATTTCTAGTCAGACCACCAAAGTCTCAAATTTGGATGACACAAGGAACTTAGGGGCCGCATGCGAAAGGAGTCCAGAAACTAGCACACCTTAGAGTGGGAGATGCTTTTGAGAGCACGCAGCATATGATGTTGGTGTAAACATGAGTGATGTAGGTCCTGGTGAGGAATGATATAACGGTGCGGTGTAGCCACGGCATTATACTGATGGTTTTCATGGAGGTGCGCGTGGCCTAAGACGTCATTGCCGTGTGGACAGCGGAGACGAGTGCGCCGACTGTATGTGCGGCGCCCCAGGCATTAGTTCAACAGCCACCGTGCGAACCAACGGGGCAATCGGGTAGTTACGTGTCAATCGTGGAGGTGATCGTCGTCGGAGTGCTGGCTGTTGGAGTATTCGTCGCCGTAGAACTGCATGTCGTCAAAGGGATTTTGTATTGAGTTTGGAAGCGACCGACTAAGCCGATGCGTGCGTGGAATGCACGTTTGCAGTGGGAGCAGGTTCGGAAGGCTTGGACGTTGTGTATTTAGCCTATAGCGCTTTTCACATCCCGCGTCATGCTATGAATGAGGTCACGTGGTTGTAATTCTCGACACACCTCTAGACAGCCAATCACAGGTGCCGCACACTGCGTCAATGCTCGATCCCTCACGGTAGCTAACGTGCGCACACATCAATGCCTGCCTCCCTGATCTGGTCAATCATCGCTCCGAGGTCCACTCACACAAAGAGCCCACTGACCACTGGTGACAACTCCCGCGCTGACACACTTCGGACTCAGCCCCCTTGCCTCCGGACTGCGCTAGTCCGGGAGTCAACCTCCTCCTATCTATTCTTCACTCCTATAAAGAGTCAATTATTCCTTCCACTCTTGTCTCCCACTTCTTTTCTTTTTACAAGAAAGCGGGCCGGAAGATCGTAGTGGCAAGACTTTTCCTCATTAACTTAACCCACTGCGATAATTGCTCGTCCGTTAGCTTTATGACTAACGTGCTGTCCTTTTGGCCTTGGCGATCCGACTGACTTAGTAGATGGCTGCGCCAGTTTTCACCGTTCTTTTACATGCCGCTCGATCCTGAGCAACCTCCGCCCTCGTCGTCGGGTTGATTTGGAAGCGCTTTAGGGTGGCCTTGTAGCGCCTCTTTTGCTCTCCTTGTCGGCGGGCACTCGCACTGACATCGCCGTAGAAAATTCGCTTGAGTAGTCGTTCGTCGTCCATCCGCACCAAGTAGTTGCTGCAATGCAGTTGAAGTTGCCTTAACATGGCGTGGATGCTGAAGATTCCTGTTTGCTCTAGGACTACCATGTCCGGAATCCTGTCTTGCCATCTCAGCTTTAGTATTCGGCGGAAACAGCTAAGATGGAGGTAATACAATTTTCGTGGTTGGCTGGTGTAGGCGGTCCGGGTTTCTGCACCATACAGGAGTGTCATGAGAACGACAGCCTTGTACATCTTCAGTTTGGCATTCAGTTGGAGGCCGCGGCGGTCCCACGTGGAGGTTTGCCGTCAGCCAAAGGCCTAGCTGGCTTTGGAGATCCGATGAGCAATTTCATCTTCAAACCTGAGGTAGCGAGATAGCGTGCTACTGGGATAGGCGACGTTGTCCACACTCTTCAGTTCGACACCACTGACGTTGATCCGGGGAGCATTGCAGTCAACTTCGAGTGGCGGTAAGTGCATGACTATCGTTTTATCCGTGTTGATAGTTAGTCTAAAAATGGCAAAGCCGGCGGCGAGGAGGCCCACACTCGTTTTCCTTTCCTGTTCTGTCGTGATATTGAGAGCACAGTCGTCGGCAAAGAGGAAGTCATGGACTGTGGTCGTAAGAACTCGCGTTTAGGCATTCTTATGCAGGATGTTTAGGATGTGCTGGTCAATTCTGTAGGCGATGCGGATCCCGGGAAGCTCGTCACGGTAGGCGTCCGTCAGCATGGCAAAAAACACGAAACTATAGGGGATAGGCGCGAGGACACAGTCCTGCTTCACTCCGTTGGTCACTGCAAAGGCTCCGGATACCCTTCTGTTTGCAGTGACGCGCGTCATCATCCCGTCGTGGAGCAAATACACCATGTAGGTGAAGCGCTCAGGACAGCCGAATTTCTGCATTACTTTCCATAATCCGTCAAATGTTGTCAAATGCTTTCGTCAGGTTCACCAAAGCTGTATAGAGGTGGGTTTGCATCTCCAGGAACTTCTTCTGCAGCTGTCGCGCGGCGAAGATGATGTCAGCGGTGCCGCAATGATGGCGCAAACCAAACTTGCTTCTTGGTGGGAGTCCTTGTTCCATGTAGTTGTTGTGACGGTTAAAAAGAAAACGGGCTAAGGTTTTCGAGCGATAAGGAGCAGCGAGATCCGTCGGTGATTGTCGCAGCGTTTAGAGTTCCCTTTTCACTAGTAGAGGTGGATAATTGTGGCATCCTTGAGGTCTGGGGGGATTTGGCCTTGGCGCAATATATCCTGGAAGAGTTTGATGAGGTGGTTCATAAGCTGAGGGTCGCCATATTTGTAAATATCAGCAGGGATCGCGTCTAATCCGTGTTCTTCCTCGATGGAGCGTTTCTGTACGGCTCTGATGGTTGCTGGAAGAGTGGATGGGAGATCGAGGTCGGTGTTAATCTCCACTTGAGGCGGCATCCGAGAT